AAGACCAGACACAAGATCAGACACAAGACAGACACAAGACCACACACAAGGCCAGTCACAAGACCAGACACGAGACCAAACACAAGATTAGATACAAGACCAGACACAAGATCAGTCACAAGAACAGACACAAGACCAAACACAAGATTAGACACAAGACCAGACAGAAGATGAGTCACAAGACCAGACACAAGGCCATTCACAAGATCAGACAACAGACTAGTCATGAATTGAGTCATGAGATAGGAGTCATGAAGGCGTTAGGGTACCAAGGAAAATTAACCAGCCAATGGTCACTGATTGAACTTAGAACCAAGGTGTCAACTATTCAACCAATGGCAATTTCTACTCATACAGTAATTTCTCCCCGACCCCTGTTCCAACCTTCACAAAATTCTACACATAGATAATTCAGACAAGTCAATTTTGAATATCAGAATCTCAGATGTAAATGTACACTTCCTTCTCTTGCCAGACAGCACTGTATTCGTTTTTCACAACTCACCTACATCGGTTGCAATCCATGCCAGGCCAAGTACGCCATTAGCAAAGTCTCGGTTAGTAAAGGTGTAAGCTAGGCAGTACGCACTGAGGTCACCATTGGATGCATAATCTAAGTACTTCTCCACACCGAGGTTTTCATCACGGAATGGGTACTCAGGAGAATTCCGATCTGCCTCTGTGTAGATCTGTAACATCAAGAGGAAAAACATCAAACGTGAAGCATTGTTAAAAACCTAATCAAGATGAGTGGTCAGCCTCTTTTGGGCATTATTTTTGTGTGCTTTGTATGCTTGTGAAGATGACAAAAAATTGACTGACCCAAAACAATGCTCCAGCTTGAAACTAATCCATGGCAACATTGAGACACATTAAAGGGAAACCGAATGTTTATGCATGCGGCAATCAATGAATGTCATGTACCCACAAGTGATATTCAAATCAGATTAGGCTCAAGTTGACTGAAATCCATTTTTCACCTCTTGATCTTTTCAAAATTCTGAATGTGAAAAAAAATTCCAGACAGAACTTTTTTCTCTTGAAAGTGATTTCAAACTTAAAGATTTGTATGGCAGACATACAAGTACATGCAGGATGAAGGTGAGTGGCAGTACAATGTATCTCTTCCGTGAGTGGCAGTCTCAAAAGAAACATTTCGGTCATTGTAATAGATTAATGGAATGAAACACCACATGCATTACTCCAGTGGTAATTATACCCACTTGCGTTCCTGACTTTGGGGTGCACACATACATTTTGGCAAGACTCGGCTCCCTCTTGGTGGTTGAAAAGGTGCACTGCAGTAATACCTTCTAATTTTGGTTGTGAGTTATCTATAGGCTTGTTAACTCAATAAAAAGTTACTCCATCAGCGAATAAAGCGACTTGCTGTGGCCAAGGATTTAATACTGGTATGTGGCACAATACCCTGATTTTGGCAACTGCAAAGTTGATATCTGTGTAGTCTCCAAACGTTGTCCTTGAGTAAATCTGGCTCGCCGCTTGCACGTGATCTCCAATCTGTCTTATGACGGCTAGTTTACTCCCAAATCTGTGACATCAACATTTTAAACGGAAAGGGAATTGTCTCTTTAAGTTAAGACTGACAATATACCTGGTAAATGATTCACGGTAAATGGCACACAGTGGCAGATCAATGATTCACATAAAAAGTAATCGCATTGACTTACCGTTCAAAGAATTCAATGTCTGTTCTGATGAACAGAGTGCAAGTCTGAGCAGATGGTGCTTGACGTTTATGACGAGCAAAGTACGATGAACTATCACCCTAGGAGAAAAATGGCAACAAAGAATCTCTGTTTCTTGACAAACCGATGTAAAACTGATGTCAACAGAATGGTACATCGCTACACCAGAAATGTGATAGATGGATACATGGAAGAGTAACAAAGAAAAATGCATGAAGCAAACTATTTACAATTATTCCTTATGTTTTAGAACTCATGAGCGAAAATTTTACAAAGTACCAGTCAAAAGCAATGAACTCCTGTTGCAATTTTGGCTGGTAACATCAGTTCACGAGTGTTCTGTGCTGAATAATGTCATTTAAACTAGCTGCTTGAACCGGCTGCTCAATGATAGCAGTTAAGCTTGATCCCGAAAAATTCCTCACTTCGATTTACAGCATTTTGAACAGCTTTGGTCAAGTCATACTTCACAGTAAAATCTGCCCAACTTTTTGGCGAATATGCCACTAGTTAACACTGATCACAAAGTGGATTTCTAGAACCACAAGGCTTCCCAGCACAACCAGAAAATCAGACTGAAGGCTCTTACTCTGTCCTCCATTTTCTCTTCTTTCTGCATCTCTTTCAGTCTCTCTTCCATCCGTTTCTGGATTTGGCCGACCATGCCACAACCACTGGAGCCCAGAGAGGAGTAGTCCACATCCTTGGCCTCGTAGATGACAGAGTGAGAGTCTGGATTTTTCATGTAGTTGGCAGCAGGTTCCACAGAGTAAACCTCCTCCCCAACGTGAATCTTGCCTTGGAAGAGGCCATCCACAATGGAACCATGGCAATAGCTCCCTGTCTCACCTTTGGAGTGACGTTGATCAAAAGTAGTCAATTGGAGACTAAACGTAACAAAATTTCTAAAGATATTATACATGTACCAAGCAACCAACTGAATTTTTTGGCTCATGTCCATAAACACATGAGTCATGACATTTGGCCCCTACTGGACAAACTTCCAATTTACTTCTTTTCACAAGCTCTTGTTTGTTAAAAAAGCTTTTTTTTTTAACAAGCTCTTTTTAACTTTGGGCACTGGACAATGTTACCTTTAAAACTGTTTGTTAAATATTCACAGTCACAAAACATGCAATACAGATACATGAAATACAAAACTACATACATCACTTAAGAGTTAACCCATGTTTGAGTCGCCATTTACACTACAAAACAGCACTGATAAAAACTGCCTTTGTTGACAACACCCTGATTAAGTTAACAAAAGGGCTTTACAAATTCAATCATGCATGACCACCTCCTGCCTCAGGAATTTCTCTTTATTCCTTGAACAAATTTGGAAAGTGTTGATTTCATGGCCATCCACTTCATACATGGGGGAAAGGCGTATACAGCAACAAGGCGAAATCATCAGTGCCTTTAAAGCAACTCCTGCGCAGGTGTTCACAGGAATTATAAAGCAATTGTAGATGAAGTACATGTCATTTTTCAGTTTGTGCATTTCACGGTACATAAATGTACATGTACAGTGGGACGTTGCGTGGGTTGGGTGTTGACGGGAATTAACGAGCGTCAGAATCAATGCAGTGTGTGAAAACGAGTCGTCGGCAGCATGCAAGACCATGACAATTTACACTTGTCTACATGTACACAATCAAAAATGTCAAAAGACTGTGTGTGTTACACAATCAATTTTTGTTGAGCAGGTAAATGTTGAATCAATTCCTTATACATGTACCAATTGAAACAGCTGCTGTATATTGTCTTATTCCTCACTGTCACAACAGAGCCATCAAGACTGCTATACATATTTTTAACTACATCTTTAGATTTACACAGTAGAGGGCAGTATTTTGATGTTTTAAACAAAATGACATGTATTTCCATTGCATGCTAAGGACAAAAAAAATCCACCGAGTGCCGCTTGGGTCTGTTCCAAACTTTAACCACACCTTCCAATGCCTCACAGGAGAAGACTTTTTTTTTTCCATTCCAAGAAATTCTTTCCCAAATCCCTAGAGTTGGGAACCAATTCAACTTTTGCCACAACAGGCAATCAGTGCAACCATGAACAGATTTCACATTAAATTTCCCAAATGTTGGGAAGCGTTGCTCACCACTTTCTCAGCTATTTATTCTTGAAGCCCTGGCAAAAGTGGTAAGGAAAAGCCATCAAATAGTTTGTGTCCATGTTACATCACTGTCCAATTTTTCTTAAAGATATACTGAACATTTTCAAAGTTCTAAAATGAATGAAAGAAGCACCCGTACAGATCATCTGCGACTGCTAAGAAGTCACGCACATGTCCCAGTTACATAAAATGACCCCATCATCGGTGGCACATGGCTTTATTTTGAGGCTCAAACTTGATCCCTTTTCCTGATGTAATGGCTCTCATGACAACCCTTGGAGGAAACTTACCTGCCAGTTCTCCACTGTAAAAATAATTGACTTCCGGAACTTCGTCTCCATTTGAGGTTTCCAGCGTAACACTTGGTAAAAACACACTTGTATCCCGCTTTAACCGAAGGTGGAAATCTCTGTAAAAAAGGAACAGAATCCAAAAACAATAAATGTAACAAACTCAGACAAATTTCTGACATCCAACATGGAGATCCTGTTCATAGGAAAATGTGTACTTGTTGAGAAACCATTTACTTACTTTTGATACTGTATTTCAACACAAGCTTACCCCTTAAAAATTGAAGTTAAAGGATATGTACAAACCAATATACATGTGCATGTATCATTGGTTTCATTGGGGATTTTAGGATTCAAGAAGGTTCAGCGAAAGAGTAAAGAATGAAGCAATATACCAGTGCATGTATCAATTTCCTTATGAAAGTGCAGTGCATGTACATCTAACTACAGTTTAGAAGCACGGTTCAAATACATGTGTACACATGGAACGTACATGTACTGCATGTACACTGTACATGTACATTTGGAACCTTCTCAAGGACCCAACCATTATTCAAGGTACCATACAAGTGAAAAATAAAATGTCTTTGAACATCCTCATTCTACGTGTACTTCAGAAAAAAATACATGTTTTCAAAGTTATACACAATATGTAATACTACACGTATGTACTGAACATGTTCATGAAACC